GGAGGGAGAGAGAGAGAGAGAGAATGGATAGTGTATCAGTAGAATTGATCCAATAGTTTAAAAGTCGTAAAAGGAAACGATCGAATTGTTGTAAAGCAAAACTGGCGATCGTTTATCTTTAACAAAAAAAAAAAATTTATTTATGTAAGCGAATAAAACTTTTTGCTATTTTAAATTTATCTTTGAAAGTAATTAAAATTATTTATTGATTGGTTCTGCTTTTGTAATTAAAATTATAACAATTAAAATTTTTTATTCATCCTTAAAGTAAAGGTTTTTTTTTAAAGAATAGAAAAAAGAATTAAAATTTCTTGAATTTCTTTGAAATTCTTGGCTACTTTTCCTTCCTAAATTTTTTAATTATTTTATATATGCATAAATATCATTGCAAGCCAATGTTTTAGGCTTATTTTATGTCCTAGAGCCTAGTCCTTGAATTTCATATTCTTTTCTGGCTTTTATGAAATTTTATCATCCAAAGATTCATTATCACAGATAAAAATTGATTGCAATATATCAAATAATCAATAAGATAAAATTTGTAAATTTATTCAATGATAACAAATGCAAGCGAAAGTTTATTGAACAAACAATGAAATATGTTTATCTAATCTTTATCAATCATCTATCTAATCTTTACTCTTAATTTACATATCAAACTTGTTTTCAATTTATTGTTCCAATTTTAAACACAAATATTTCGTCTTAATTAAATAGTGGCGATTATTGCCATATAGCATTCATTCATTTCATTGTAATCATATCTATCTCACTGATAAATCAGCCTTGAATTGTATTCTGTTGAATATTATATCAATGATATTGCATATTTAATGTTGAAAGACTGTGTGAATTTAGTAATGAGAGTACCATTCCAAGGGATATTGATGGTATTGGTACAGAATGAATAAATGATTTGAGGTATTAACACAGAAACGGAAATGAGTTCCGGTATTGACGCAGAAACAGGATTGAAATGCGACATTAACATAGAAACAGAAATGAATTTGGGTATTGACGCAAAAAAGGGAAAATGATTTGCGGTATTGACGCAAAAAAAGGAAAATGATTTGCGATATTGACGCAAAAAAAGGAAAATGATTTGCGATTGATTTGCGATGTTGACGCGAAAAAAGTAATTGAGTTGATAATTGGGTAACTGTAGGTAAAGTACAGTGAAATGAAGAAAAAAAAGACAAAAAACAAAAAGAATAACTAATTAGCAATAACAAAAGAATTTTGAAAACAAAAGAACAGAAGAACGAAATTTGCTAATTTTCGACTTCTACCTTAGTACGAAAAAATCAAATTATTCTTCCTGATAATTTTTTTAAAATTTAAAATTTTTATTCATCATATATCTGTTTGTTTCTGTGTCTGTCTGTCTGTGTATGTATGTATATGTGTGTATTTGTGTGTGTATGTGTGTGTGTGTATGTGTGTGTATTGAAGTTAGAATGTGTCAATATGCATAAACATTAATATGTGTGAAATATCAATCAGTAACAACATGGTGACATCTGAAATTCCGGTTTTTCTCTTTTTCATTCTTATAATCAAGATTTATTTCCATTTTTTTTTCTTCGAATAAAATTATGTAAGGATGTTTGATTAGTACTGTAGAACTATACCATTTGAAGAACACACACACACACACACACACATACACACACACGCACACACGCACACACACACAGACCCACACAGACATAAACATGGACAGACAAGTTATGTGTGTCACCAATTTTAAACATGCTAAATGATTATGCTAAAAATTTTTGTAACTATTCAGAAATGTTAAAATGTAAAATTTTTAGACAAACAGGAAATTCTAACTTTAAAGATATATTGGAAGAAAAAAAAAGAGCAAATTTCAGATTGTCACTGTTCTACAAAAAGCTTTTTCTCATTTCTAGTTTGTATGATTCATTGTGAAGTTTGTTTACAGCTGCTACTATTTACCTGATTCATCTGTCTCTCCTTTTACCTGATGCTTATCCATTTTTTTTTTCTCCAATAACAAAACATCCCACAGTACTGCTGAGAGATGCAGATTTAAAAAGTTTGAATTCCGTAAATAAATATTTCGGATCCGGAATACATCTCTTAGAATATTAACTGGTTTATGGTTTACTTGAAGGCATATTGTTTTAACCGATTCCATCATATTTATTAGGAATGTATTCCTTTTTATGATTAATTACTAATTAGTCATTAACCGTAATGATTTAATTTCTAGCGATAATTAAGCTTTTCTTGAAAGGAGCTAGAGAACGAGTGAATCTATAAATTATCCACTTATTTTTCAAAACTTCCTTTTTCTCTCTTTACCTTTGACCTAATCAATAAATGCATACAATTGATAAATTAGAAGTCTAATATTTAAATAGGTATTTCTCGCGATTGATACAGTTAGCAATTGACTTCTTATTGTTAGATTGATTGGTAGCTATGTTAATTTAGCAGGTTATCGTATTTTTTAAGCAAGTTTAGCTAGCTTTTCATAGTTGATTCCTAATCCATAAATAAGGTACCTGTGCTTTTTCATCGGTTTAATTATAGGTTGAAATTTAAAAGTTGGAGTTTAAAAGATGAAATTGAAATAATGGTCCTTAGCAATATGTCCATACAATTAAGAAGCCAAAAAGATAAATGTTAAATGTAGGCTCGATAAAATGATAGATCGGTAAAATGTATAATTTTAGAGGGATACGACCATATAATTAGTTGAGGTATTAATAACGCAAATGACAAAAATCTTTACAGTAATACCTTTCCCCTCAAATTAAACTTCATATCCGTTAATTATACTGTGGGAAATTTATTTTCCAAATCAAAATAATATGCAAAAAAAAAAAATGCCCGTACTATTTTATTTAAAATTTTTGGAAATGAATGCAATATGAAAATGATGATTGTCCAAGAGATCGAGCATTATAGATACATTGCTAGGTAATGGTCAGTTAAGAGTGACCAATCCTTAAAAAACACTAATAGTTAATTAAATACTATAATTGTATGCTTAGAAATTTGACAATTCGTTGTTTTAATCTTCGTTAAGAATATTCAAGTAGAGATTTAAAAAAAAAAATGTGCTAAAACAAAAGAGAATTATTTAAATTTCTTTTTCCTTCTTTTTTTTCAAATGAAGATTTTAAAAATTATTAAAATTTTTTAATTATAAATATCATAAATTAGAAATGGCATTTGTTGGAAAACATTTTTATTTCCTTATTTTTCTTTTTTGTCGTTTTATTTTTAATTTGTTCGCTTTATTTCATATTTATCAATTTCGATCATTGATGATAGTTTGTTGAAGAAAATTTTGAATATAATCAAATTAAAATTCAATGATGTTGTTTGAGAATTCATTCATTCTTTTATTTCTTATAAAGTTTGGCTATTTTAAATTTTAAACCAAAATTAAAATTGTCCAAAAAAGCCTGGTCCAAGTACAGGATATTGCAATCAATTTTGCATTTGTTAATCATACTTTAATTTATTTTCCCACATTATCTGTCATAAGATAGTGTGTCTTTTTTTTTTTTTTTGATGCTATAATTAACCAATGTTTTGGCCAATAAAGTATAGACTTTATTGGCGCTATTGACACTAAAGGCGCTCTCTACCATATATCTTCATTAGTGATAATATTTGCTGATATTATCTTAACTTTACATTATCCGTTTGAAATTTACATATAAATGTGTTTATTTAAAGAAATAAATTGTTGAATATTTTCATAGCACGAAGACTAAAACGAATTCCATCGAAATTATTTAACTTCTCAAATAGTTTCTTATCAACAAATCGATTTGATAACAACAAATCTTACTCTACAGAACAGCAGATTCAACTATCACCACCGCCATTACCCGGTAATCCACCTCCTCAACTACTGAATCAACAGTTTAACTTTCGAAAGGACGATATTCTTGGTAAGTAATTCAAGATAATCGATAAAAGTAATAGGAAAATGAGGATGTCAAAGGATAGATCGGGGAAGTTATGTTATCTGGATTTCTTTAAAATTTTTAATTGATGACACTATCATTACAATTAAAAAGTATTATTGTTAGCAAAGATAAACATCACCTATCATTGTTTATCATTCATTATCATAGACCATCGTTATCAGGCGTAGTAATACAACGTCAGTGGAGAACAACGAAGAATTCATCTTCTATTGATAGTGATAATAAAAGCAAAAATATCATGTCGGCAAAAGTAGAAACAACAGTACGACAATGGTCGACACCAGTTGAAAAGGTCGTCGAAGGTCAACCACCAAGACCTGTGAGTCATCAATATGGATTAGTTTTCCTTTTGTGACAAATTTAAATTGATTAAACTTTCAACAAAAAGTCGAATGGATAAGAAAAAAAGTACAAGTGAATGATTATTAAAATTAAATTGTTAGTATAAATAGATTCGTTTCATTGCAATTTATAAATGAGCTCAATTTTATTTACAAAATTTACGAAAATATTAGTTAGTTTCCTTAAAAAAAAAAATGACAATTAAATTAAAGTTACAATAAATACATATTGTTAAAGAAAGTAAATAATGCAATTCAAATTGTTAAACTTAAAATTCAGCTAAATAATTAACATTCATTTGTTAATTAATTGCGTACAATTTTTTTCAAAATCTAATAAACTAACATTCGTTTCCTTCAATCAACATATGATTTATTTAAATACAATTGAACTATTTCATATATAATATTAGTATTGAAAATTAATTGTTTTTTCATCAATTATTTTCTATTAAAGTAACTAGGAAGGTAGTGAAGTTTATATTTGATAAGATTATCAGATAATTATGAATTTCATAAGAATTGAATTCACATCAGTAATATCTATATATCATATCAGTGATATGTATAATTGCATTAAAACCCTTTATAACTAGTCAACAATTTGTTTCTGTGGTCAAATATCTGAGAACGGGAAGGAAAAATTTTATTCAAATATCTTTTCATTTTAAATTCTTCTCTATGACAAATAATCAAATTTCGAATATAATTATAATGGTTTCTTCATTTCTATCAAATTGTCCACATTGTCCACTTTTTTTTTTTAATTTTAAATTCATACTAATCCGTATTATTTCTATGATTTTATCAAAAAAAAAGGGAGAAAATTCAAGTTTTAATTATAAAAGGAGTTAAACTGGAATGTTCAAATGACCAATTAAACATTCGTTGATGACCAATCAAACATTTGTTAATATTAAATTATCAAACGTTGACCAATAAACTAAACAAAAGCCATCCTTGTAATTTCATAATTTTAAATATATAAAGCAAAATAATAATTGAGGAAAGAAATTACAATTATGCTAAAAATGCAATCGTAACATTTTTATATAAAAGTGATCGAAATGATTGAGGGAAGTATTTGGGAGGTCCAATCAATTGTAAAAAAATGATTCTATCAAGTAAAATTGAAATTTTTGATACTATCAATGGTTGAGAACATTTTCTTTCATTGCTACAATGAATCATTCCTGTTTTTGACCAATAGGTATAAATTCTATTTTTAATGACTTTTAATTTGACCTTCAATCGTTATCTTAATGTTTCCTCTTTGGCTATTCTTTCCCTAATCTTTTTTTTTTTCCGTTTCTATCTTTTTTCATTCTCATCAATTTTGCGCAAATATTTTGAGAAATTATTCATATCAAATTACGCTTTAATTTTCACCAACGATTACTTTAAACTTCAACTTCTCAATTTCATATTTTTGTTTGGAAAGTATATTTGCAATTGGTAATGCAAAAGTCACATTGTATTGAAACGAAAAAATGTTGTCGCATTTCGTAATTTAAACGGAAGAGGACACAAGAGCAGGATGGGAGGTGGGGGAGGGTTGTATATATCAGATAGACCCTCATTGAAATCTATGCACTTATCGCGGAGTTCAAACAGAGGAAATAGAGGAGGTGTCAAACCGGTTGACAAAGCTGACTGCGGAAGAATATGCCAAATTATCAAGTTTATTCAATTATTGCAGTGTCCAGGTAGTGTCCTCTGTTCCTCTTGTTATTGGTCCGTCGTCATTTCATCAATACATATCACTTTCAAAACTTGTATCGGTTTATTAAATGTCACTTTATCTTTTCATTCTACCTTTTCTATTTAATCGTACTTTAGGCTAATGATTTGACCTAAATCTTTTTCATTAATCAATATCCAGTATTATGTATATCGTACCATTGATTTACTTCAACTTTTTCACTACTCAGTAAATATCATTTTCATTATTTCATTCTCCGGTTTTCTGGAAATGCTAATAATTGCAATATTATCACTTACCTGTTCCATTGTCCGGTTATTTTTATTGTAACAATTCTTAAAGTACAATAAAATCATGGCCTTCCTATCGAAGAAAAAATATGATGTAGAAAATGTGCAATTTAACATTTCATCAGTTAAAATGACAAGATGAAGAGATTCACCAGTTTTTACATCGTTATTATGTCGTTGCTTTCGCCTTCAACAAAATTATTTCCATTGTCATCCATTACCATCATCATCATCGCCATCATCATCATCATCATCATCATCATTATCATCATCATCAATCATCATCATCATCATCGCTATCATCATCATCATAATCATCATCATCATAATCATCATCATCATCATCATCATCATCATCATCATCATAACCATTATCCTTATCATTATCATCGTTTAAATGCCATATTTTCATCATTTCAATGAAGTAAGCATAGACAATTGACATACAGTACTACCGGGTTCATTGTATCCTTATTATTCAATTATAAAATTTATTTAAAAAAAGAAAAAATATTCACTTAAGATAAATTTTGTATTTATACATTTCAAATAGTTACCTAACTAAATTTAGCTTATCATCTTTTATTCTGATAAGCTTATCAATTCAATCAAATGACACTCTTCTAAATATCTTTGTAATTCTTTTGTATTAATTATCATTTCCAAGTAAGCTTCTCTCCTAATCACATATAATGCTCATTTTTTCTTAATTCATTAAACCCATTGTTTGTTCAAATTGAAATTTATTCAAAAGCATGTTAATTGTTTACAATGATAAATTACAAACGAGTTATTAATTAACATAATTAATAATAGATTACCTTAGAAGGTACACCGTAGAATCATTGAATAATACGATGAATTGTTAAAAATATTTTTCCTTTTTCTCTTTTCTGACTTTTTGACATTCCAATATGCTTTCCCAAAACTTTTTTTTTATCAAAAATTGTCATGAAATTTAGTTAAATTAAATTTAAACAATGCATCATATCATTGTTTACTGTTTTCTTGTTTATCAGTTCCGTTATCACAGATTGGAAATTGGTTAGCAGATAATTATCACTTTCTTTCTTTTTCTTCCCAATTAATTAATTTAACATTTAAACCTTACGAGAATTTTCAATAGCGTCAAAAAATATTAAAATGGAGCCAAAGAGTTAATTCAAAAAGGATTTCTTGATTCGTTTTTTTCTTTTCGTTTTTCAAAAAGGATTCTTTGAGTTTCCCTTGATTATTTAAATCTATAGTTTCCGGTTTCAGGTTTTAAGCAAAAAGAAAAGATAATATTATATTTTCATTCGGTTTAAAATACACATACTTAGTATTTTATGAAAATGATAGGTTGGATTCATATTTATGCGAAACTTTGATGAAAAACTGGATTCTAATTCATTTTCGCATTCGAAACTTGTTTACTTTTGACTTTCCCAGAAAGAAAATATGGAAAGAAGTAAAAATTACAGTTTCAAACAATAAATCTAGCAAAAAAAATTGAAAATTTTAAATATTGAAAAAACTACGATAAATGAAGTAACTTTATTCAACAATTATAAAAATTTGAAAGAAAATTGGATGAAATTCGGTCATTTTTGCAATTTTCTATCAAAAATTTATTTTCATAAAATTAAAAGAAGATTAAGAGGTATAATTTGAAGATTGAAAGAAAGTGTTAGGATGTAAAGGAAGGTACCATTTAAAATGTATTTGATATTAATCCTGGCTAATTTTTTCATTTTATTATATTAAATTTATTAATTTAATTAAAAGATTCATGTTTTAATTTTGCCTTATTTCACTAATATTACACTTCCAAAATTATCAATTCTCTTTTTCTTTTTTTTCCTATCTAATATAAACTATTTAATTAGAAAATTATCCTTATTATCATTATCAGTTATATATCATGTCTAGCTTACTTTACTAAATTGTATTATTATCAATGATATTTGTTGATTACCTAAATGAAAGGCAAATTCATTTCAAGCGGGTAATTATTGGGTAGATAATTACCCATATATTAATTGTCATATTTTATTTAATAGTGCTAACGAAATAAAAAAAAAAAAAAAGAAACGAAAATCAAACAATTTCATTTAATATTATAATAAAATACTCAGTGAGAGAATTATTTTGTTCACATCATATTATAAGTTTGTTTCCTTTTTTCTTTTTTTTTTTTCTGGGATAATAATAGGTAATTAATTGGAAATGAAAAATGGAACGTGCTAGATTGAAAGTTTTAAGAGAAATAACGGGAAGAAGTTCGGGAATTTTATGAAAACTCTTATAAGAACTTGTAATTTCTACCAAATTAATGGTTAAATTAATACAAAAAGCGAAAAAAAATGAAAGAAAAATAGATTAAATTGGTCATATTTAGTGACAATATTTGAATCATCGATATAATAAAACTTTTGAGCATTAAATCCAGTTATTGCTTACATAAATATTTACATCAATCTTTTTTTTTCTTTTGCTTACTCATCATTTCATTTGTTTACAGATGTAAACAATAATTTTTACATTTGTTTATTTCTGAAATTTCCCTATAATCGTTATAAAATGATAGATTTCATTAATTTTTCAATAACTAATAGTTAGGGGATGAATTTTAATTGTAGAAGTAAGATTTTCAATCATTTATGCATTTCGCCCGATCTCGATTCTTTCTTTTTTTTTTACTAAAATTTAACCCTTTTAACCTTTAGCATATCTTTCAATTCTTAAATTTTTTGTTCAAAATTGAAAAAATTTGAAATGATTCATTCATTATATTCGTTCATTTGCAATTTACTTAATGCTTATATTTACAAAAAAAAAAAAAATCTGATTCATTGATAAGTTACATGTATTTCAAAATTGTAAAAGAATTAAAACTAAAATGCGACACTCAAATGAATTTATTGAATTTGCTTAAATTTTGAAAAAAATTTTTTTTGTCACGAAAATAAATGTTTTCTTCATTTAAAGAATTACACTTCAATTTTAACAAATTACAAGAATCGGTGATAATTCGAGCGCATTAATTCCTCTTTGGCGCAATATTTCTCATAAAATAATTTCTCATTTTGTGCGTGAGAAATATCAATTTGAACTTTTTGTTTGGCGTACAAATTTCATTCTAACAAATTTATCAAATCCTTTTGCTATCAATGACAAATTTTTTTTCTTTTTTTAAATTTCAATTTCATCTTTTCGTTTAACAAATCCAATTTTTTTATTTTTGCATAAAAATCACAGTAAGCTAATGTTCAATTGCGCTCTTCCCTAAAGCGGAAATGAATTTTTTCAAAAAAGAAATGAAAAAGTTCAAATATAATTAATTATTTAATGAAATTTACCTCTTTTTTTCTTTTTTTTTGTCTAATAAATGATAGCAATTTTTGATTCATTTATTATTTGAATAATTTAAATTGATTGAAGAGAGAGAGAGAGAGAAAGAAAAGAGGTAGAAAGAGGTGACAATGGCTTAATTTTGATAAAAAGTGGGAGATTTTTGATGAGAACATCTGCCTAATTATTAGCTTTCAACAAGAAATAACTACTATCGTTAAAGAATATTTAACTTCATCTTCTAAATTTCATATCTAAATTTAATCCATGATACTGTTACAGTGGCCTAGATTTAAAAAATGCCCTGGACATATGTAAATAGCTAGGCTGCTAAATGATTGCTAAGACATTAAACAAATCCAATTAAATTTGTATTTTTTTGAAAGTATTATTGCAATCGAATTGATCAAGGATAGCTTTCTTATTCATTCTACTATAATCTTCGATCAGCTCTTTACATTCAAACTCAAATGACCTTTGATCCCTAATAATATTTGTAGCACTTTTTTGCCCCATAAATCAAAATGTCTACATTAGTTCGTATTGTATCTATATAACTTCATAAAATCAGAACTCGTTCATTCCTGACTAATTTTCTATTCCGGAAAATTTCCCGAATAATCTTGGCTCAGTTTTGCAATTTCGTTCATTTCTCGAGATATTCTTTCTTCCTGAAAATCGGTTTAATCGGAATTTGTAATGAGTTGTGAATATTTCAAATAATCCTGAAATTGTAAAAAAATATCAAAATTAATCAAATACTTTATTTGCTATTTATATAACGACCGGTTTGCCTTCTTATTTTTTGGTTTTTAATCTTTTGAAAATGGACCGCGCCTTTCATCATGCTAAAGTAAATTAGCAACAATACATTTCCAGTATTTAATTAATATATCGTAAACGGAATGGTAGAACAACCTCAAGTTCGACGATTTTCACCAATGTTTCTGGAACGTCTACGTGTTTTTGTATGTTCAATCTAATTTCTCGTCAATTTTCCAAACTTTTTACATATTCAAATTCTAGCCAATGGCTTATTTTATGATATATTTGAGTCTTCAATTAATAAATAAAATTTCAAATTTTAAAAATTAGTGATCATATTCACAAAATTAGCAATTATATTCATAGTTCGATAGAAAATTTTTCATTTATTTCTGGTTTAATTTGATATTTTATCCATTTCCAATTAAAATTGTTCATTTTTAATATGCTAGAAACGGAGTGATAATTGATTCGGTGACAAATTATACCTTTTAATAATAAATAAATATCCAATATTTTGTAATTCTAATGCAAACTCATCTTGATCACTTTAAAAATCACCAAAATATAATGGTTAATTAATTATTCATGAAATTTAAATAGTTATTTGATATCAGATAATCAATGCTGTGAAAAAAATTAATAGCTCATGAAATTTAAATAGTTATTTGATATCAGATAATCAATGCTGTGAAAAAAATTAATAGCTATGGGCCATCGTTATTGACCATTTGACCATTACTTTTTATTGTTTTAAATTTCCAATGATGGCTTTCAACAGAAATCAATATGCTAACAATACGAATGATACATACATAATTTTGCTATCAAATAATTGAAGTCGAATTTCAATCCATTTTCAATTACATGATACTTTACAAATTCTAAGGTAACCTAAAATGTGAAACAATTTTAAATCAATATCTTTCAGGAAGATCATCCAACAA